CTGCTTCTCCCTCTGACCCTCCCCCTCTCATGTGCTCTCTCTCATTCTCTCTCAAATAAATAAAATCTTTAAAAAAATAAATAAATAAAAATAAAAAGAGGATTGCCGACCTGTGTGCAAACCCACTTCCTGTCACACTTCCATTGTCAACCTACTATGTATTAAAAAGTTACATGCTTAGGTTACACTATCAACTGAAAATAAGCACAGAGCAAAGCCTGTTTCTCTACCAGGCCTCCAAGCTAGTCATTGAGAGCTCAGACTGCAGAGTCAGACTGTGTGAGTTCAAATCCTGACTCTACCACTTACATGCTGTGGAACTTTAGAAAAGTTGCTTACCATCTCTGTGCCTCAGTTTCCTCATTTGTAAAGGGAGGATAAGATTGTCCCCACCTCAAGTAAGCACTGTGAGGCTATATGTAAAGCACCGGGAACAGGGCCCAGCACAGAATAAGTACTTGATAAATGTTGAATAGTATTATTCCATTTTTAATATTTCTAAAAACCTAATAAAAACTGTACCTGTGATAAGTCAACACAAGCTAACTAAAAAGTCAAGGCTTTTTTTTTTTTTTGCCGTGGCTAGAATGACGCTAACTCAGCACAGTGATATGAATGCTCACGTGCTGGTTAGGCACGTATCTGCCGTGCAGGCCCCCAGATGTGGGCACAGAATAGTCACAGAGTGTCAGGGCTAGATGGGGCCGGGGAAATCTTTGAGCATAATGCTATCATTTTACAAAGGGGAAGAGCAAGACCCAGAGAGGTGTCTTGTCAAAAATGAGCATTTGATAGAGGAGTCAATTAATTTAGGGCAGGAGGGGAAAAAAATAAAGGAAGAGGGACAACTAACTTCTGAGGGTTAAAATCTACATGCAGTGGCTCTGAAAGGCCTCTCACCTGCTTTATTTTTCCTGAGATTGCCGAGAATGACATGGCACTTGTACTGATGGACAGATGACCAGATAAACATCAGCATTCCGAGGATATGGAACCACCGAGCTTGCATCAAGAGATTTTTCCCTATCACATAGACTACAGAAAAAAAGAATTAGCTTATTAGCAAGCCTGCAAAATTTCAGAGGCTCAGGGCATGATACAGTTAGTAGAATCATACAGTTAGCAGAACACAATTATCCACTTATTCTGTTCCTCATGACTAGAAAATTATCCTGACATAATTTACCAAGTCCGGAGGGGAGAGCACTGTCCTGTGGGTGAAGGGGTATGCTCCTCAGCCAGGGGCAGCTTCAGTGGCCCCTGACAGAGAGTGCCACATGGACACATTCTCCTGCTCCCGCTTCAAATGCTTCAAGCACAGAGGTCAACTCTGTCTCCTTCTCTTGTGATGCACCCTTGTGCGGTGAGGCCGCTTTGCATTTCTATTTCTAAGCCCAGTTTTATGTCTTCTTTCTTACAGTCCACTGTCAGGAAAACACTTTCTTTCTTTTTTTTTTTTAAAGGTTTTATTTATTTATTTGACAGAGAGAGACACAGCGAGAGAGGGAACACAAGCAGGGGG